CCAGTGTAAAGGGGGGAAAAAACCCTTCCCTTACTTTGACTTTGGCTGTGGTGATGCCTGGAAGTCGGGCAACTCAAAAATGTTTGTTCAGCATTCACCCTGGGTAGGTCTGTTCAGCTCCACCGTGGTGCGAGAGTTGCCGAAGATATTTTTAAATATGTGTTTCAATGTGTTCGATTGTTTTTTCTGTTTTTCCATAAATATTATTCAATACTGTCATTTGCATTATACTGTATAATAAAATATGTGAAACATCAGAATTAGTGTTTACCTGGAGCTTGCCTGCAGAGGGTCTCAGGAGTTCGTCTCGCTGAGACTAGTGTTATCAGTGTTTTGCACAATATTTTATGATTGGAACAATAAAACAGTTTTTGCTGTTATTACACTACACACACATTTATAACTACAGTATCTACAATTTTATGCACTTATGACCCACTAAGCAGCTCTGGTGGGTGTAATAATCTTGTAACCAATTATCAGAGTTTGGCTTGGCTTTCCATATTGTGTGAAACTAACCCCATGCAATAAATATATTTTCTTCATATTTTATCTTTTACAAAGTTTTTTTCAAGTGCAATGATGCATTGGGTTTTGTCAATGTTACTTGTATCTTAGAATTTATAGAACATCGGTACGCACACGTCACTAAATATGCTCACAATATTATATTCGTTGAACAATAAAACCATGTTTGCTGTTGTATATCTACACCTATCTACATTTTAATACACCACATTGTACTGCTAACCAATTCTGGTGTGTGTGTGGAATGAAATCAAAGCACAGCATATAGACAGGCTATGACCAGACAACAACACTTGATGCAGTAAAATGCCTCCAATATATGTACATTGCTAAATCTATTCTCAACACTATTAATATTATTGTCCGACAACACTATTGTTGGATTTTTGTCACTAAAATCATGGATATGAAGAACTGTCCACATGTTTATTTTCAAAAGTAACACGGTCATGTTTCATGATGTGTACATGCACAAAACTCTGTGCTGTGACTGCCTCCCACTATGAACATCATAACCACCATTGTGTTCACCGATATCTGAACCTTTTGCACAATCCGGACCTTCTATAACACTATCGAGGCAAAATAATCAGTTGTTTAGTTTGTCCATATTAAGCGATGCCGAGAGTTGCTGCAGCATGTGTTAGTGGTCACCCTTTCAATAATGAACCCCTCTCACCCTGGAGGGGTGCCCACAATTTTTTTTTTTTTTAAATTGGATCTGTTTACTGGAGGCCTGAGGAAGCAAATGTGTGCCTCCCCGTGTGTGCTTTTAAATCTTATACAGTACTCTAAATCATTCCTGATTTACTTGTGCTATGTGGGCCAGATATCCTGTTATCATCTCTGTATAACATACGTAGCTGAAGGGTTAATGGCCGAGGGTAACCCATTATGACCAACTGTTCTGTTACTAGAAAATCTTCTCACTGCATCTTTAATTAGAAGGCATAATGAAATTCTAATATGAAGATTTAACATCCACATAGAATGCAATAAAGAGTCCTTGCTATTAAGATTCATCAATATAAATTAGGGTTGCAGAAAAGATATCTTGACACTGCATCAGTTTTTACCTCTCCACTGTACCATCAGATAGCTGTGGATGGTTGACATTCTGCAACTCCACAGTTGATTACACTATATGCTTCATATTAACTCGTGCTAATTTGCAATCGAATCTTGGTCCATCTAAGTAATGGTCAAGTACTATATGTTTTTAATCACTGACACTGTTCCCTCACTCCTTTTCTATTATCCTAGTTCCTTTTCTTCAGGTCTGTTTCAAGTATTATTTAGTAATCCTGGCTTAGCACTTTCTCCTGATAATTACCTTACCTTAAGCACTTAAACATGATGGGTAGGTTTCTCCACCGTATGGGCCAACCATTAACGCAAACTTGGGTCAAGGAATCTTATTTTATAAATTCCAGGCTATTGGACCGACCAAGCTTAATAATTTGTCTATTGGACCATCCACAACCCACTAAACCAGTTGTGAGTGACTAAATGTGCAAAATAAACCCAAAAAGTAGAGATGCAATGAGATCACACTAGGGATAACTATTTAAACTTAAAAAAAATATATATAGGGGTAATTACCAAGAGATTTCTGCTGTAAAAAATCCAGCTGGTTCACAAATATGAGGTAGCTGAACCTTCCTATCATTATGTCTGCAGTAGTGAATTCAGATTCATGAATGTGTAGAGTTAATCACATTTGCAATGACCAGAAGTATTTTGAGCAAATTGCCTGGACTGGCAGCCAGTCCTCATAAACAAAGTTCATTCCATACACTCGGCAAACCCCCCCATTTATAATTGAAACAATAGTTTACATACGACTCGACTGATGATGTCCGAACACTTCAGGAACAAGTGTTACGCTGATGACTTTTGTTCAAACCACAACCTGTAAATGCTTTACCCACGTACAGTACTATAAATAATCAATAAAACCTAAACACCTAACCTAACCAATGCCTAAATATGTACAATATGTTAAAATATAATAAGAATTTTTTCAAATAGAATATTATTTTGAATAAACAACATTGTAAAATTTATGAATGCATCTTTGGGGTCGACCCCTAGATAGAATGGACGTGGTCTGAGGATGGGTTGGCACTGGGGATCAAGTACATTAGAAAAATATTCCAATGAAGCATAGCCTACTTGAAATATGAATATAAAAGAAAGATCTCATTTCAGTAGTAAGATCATTGTGATCAGTTGCAACAGAAAATAATGAACTTGCTTCACTGAGTCTGCCATGTATTCGGTGCCAAACACTAAATTAAATATTTACAAATTTACTTGAAAAAAAGTAAATTTGGTATCAAATAGTGCACAACTTTGTGCACAATTATTTGCAATATAGTGTCTGGTATAAAATAGCAAATTATAAAGATGTTGCAACTGCCGTTCCACTGCTGTGAAAGAGGTTTGGTATGAATCTTTCCTTGATAGGAATCTTCTTACATAAACAAATCCTTCAAGCAACTCTTTTTTTTATCAGCTGGGATGATGTGCCAAGCTGCAAGCTGTCTCCCAACAGTCTGACTGATTGGGTTACCAGCCAGGAAGCTTTGCTCTAATCTAACAAAACCAACACCAGGTAGATGGAGAAATGGTTTAACATGCAATTTCATGAAATATTTTATTTATAAGACTAATAAAAATATGACCTAATATATATAGTATATCTGGAACATATAACAATGTGTTTTACCTGTTTTAGGTCCATTAGTGTGTCTCCGCGTGATGGGAGTTGGAGATGACAAGTCCACAGAGTTATTGCGCCGGTGTGGAGGTGGGTCCAACTGATACTGCTGAGGTGGAGGTGCTAACAAAGATGTAAGGGTCGGCCGATAATGATGGGAATAATGGTGGTGAGAATGTGGGTGGTGAAGGCTACTAATAGAATGTAGATTATGTCCTATTGGTGCATGATGATGATGTGTTGGATTATGTTGTAGGCCTCCTGAAGAATGCATGCGTGGTAGAGTGGATGTACGAGGTGGAATTGGAGGTGGGGAAACATCTCGTGGGGGTAACTCAGGAGCATCTGGTGCTTGTTTCACCTGAAACGACAAACGTGCGCCATTAAACAAGAGTTATAAAAGAAAATGACACCAATAACATTTACACATTATTCACTTAATTGTTTCCCATAGCCGAGGGCAAAGCCTGTAAAGCTTATCAAGGTTTCTCTAAACCAATTACTGACATCCTGCAGGATGCAACCAACAGCAGTTGCCTATCTCCTGGGTACTAACTAATAATTTATCACTGCACTGAAGTCAACTGGCCCTCAGGTAAGATAATTACCTCCAAAGGGAAGACTGGTGTTATAAAAATATATTTATCCAGGCTTGTAAGAGGGTTGAAAAGGTAATACTGAATGTAATTGAGATGAATGATAAAACATGCAGTGAAAAAGCAAAGATTCACATTACTGTTTACTATAACAACCCTCGTACAACTTCCTGTATGAGGCCTCCTTATTACGAAAGAAAGAAAAAAACATTTCTGCCTCTGACAAACTGATGTGTACTAATGTAGTACTAAATATAAATGCAATTCTAGAGACTCTGCTCTCCAAAATACATGCTATATTGGACACACTGAGTGAACACACTTCATTTGAAGGAAGGAATTACCCACACCAAACCTTGACATCACAATGCTCTCCTGAATTATTAGGACATAATAAAGGGCACCACAATCATCGCACACACACCAGTGACCAAAGGAGGTTATGAACATTTGAGGCAATCTTCATTCGTGAACTGGTCCTAGTAATTACCATTCGAATAAATTTAACATTGAGCATCCAACTGTTTCACGGTTCTTCTTTGACCCAGACGGAAGATACTCGTCATGTTAAGACAACAATCACCTGACCGTTTACTGTACTTTGTTGCTCTCTACAATTAAGGACTACTTATTCCAAGGAATGAGTATGATGGGATTAGGTGAACCCAACTTGTACATGTACAATATACCATTCCAAATTATTATTTTATACTCATGTTCTATGTACCATGTATTTACTCCTGAAGATTTCATGTTACTATCTAAATAAAAATGGAAAGACTTAAGTAATTTATTGATTCTTCATGCTCTAGATGGTAGAAAGTATTTATGTAGAACTGAAAATACCCATAAGAAAATTAGCAACTAGCATCTTAACTAGTTACATAGATATTTAAATAATCTGTATATATCTTGATTTGACTTTTGTTGTGCTTCACTTTTGCACAAGCCCCTTGAAATCTTAATCATATATTGTCTTTGCATCTAAATTGTCAAAGGTACGGATCTCTTTTGTATTCTGCTTCCCCAATGAAAAATCTTCAGCCATCACACACATTTATTAATTTTCAAATACTGTACCATTTACCCACTTCTGCTAAAATGACTACGTCAGCTTTTTGTTTTTCCGTACCATAGCTGTTATATACTGCTCCACATCTTACTCAACACCTTTGGTCTATTTCTTTAAGAAGCATCTGTATAGGCATCTTTTGGAAAAACAGCAGACCATTAAATTTCTGTTTCTGCTCTAGTGAGTAACTCTACATCTGCAGTGGCATTTAAAAAATAAAAACTTTGCAGCATTAATGATTCACATACTGTATCTTGCCTGATGCAAATGTCTGTCATATTTAAGAGAATTATCTGTTATCTTTAACTTTCTGTAAATCTTCCGCATCCAGTTTTATTTACTGAACAGTACTGCATTTCTGTTTTGAATTATTTCTTCTGAGAACACGTTTTTTTTAATCTATTGAACTCTAAAATTTGTATCTATTTTTGTTTTCTTTATCCTCTTTTTGCCTATACTATTATACTGTTTAAACCTCTCCCAATTTTGACATAAAACTATTTGCAAATTATTTATACTGTATAAGCAAATCTCTCATTCCCTCTTTGACCTATTTACCAGGTAACAGGCAAATGCTCCTGTCATATCCTTTAATTTGCTCTACATATAATCTTTGCTCGAGTCAAATTAATTGACCTTTGTAAGTGACAAATATTTTGATTTGAGTAGTTTTAACTAAAAAAATAAGTTACCTTTGGTGAGGTATCCCCAATAGATGGCTCTCTCTTGCGTACTCGTGGTGGTAAAGGTGGTGGTGGAGCTTGCGGTGATGCAGGTGGTGGTGGCGGTGCTTGAGGAGGCAGGAAGTTGCTAGGAAACCCACTTATGGTCCCTCGGAATTCAGTTAACACATCTGAATAGAAGGTATTCAGAATACCGGAACATTATATTCTGCAGTACTGTAACTATAAATTCACATACATTAACCCTTGTCTGTTTCCATTTGCTACCTGTGATTACCTCCTCTGCTACAATTGCTGTATGTGATTTTTTTCTTTTTTCCCCCCATTTGATTTATAAACTATATTTTGTCATGCTTACCCTGATGTAAGAGATTTAAGTAGCCGAGCTGTTTAAGTGTTAAGATTGCAACAACTTCACCTATAAAATCTGTCTGGAGTATACCCAGAGTGGGTTGTCCTAAACTGAATTTTGTAAATTTGAATATTTCACTGATAATAAATGCCAAAGGAGAAAAAATCTCATTACTATCAGGTTAATAATTGTTCTTGTTTACAATATTAAAATAATTGCAATAAAGTTTACAATATAAGAAAATATTAGTAATTGAGGCTTTTGGGGTCATAATTCTCAGACCCAAAGTCTACAAAGTGTTCATGACTGGCTCAAATTTTCAAACAAGTACCCTACATGTAGCACATAAATCTATATGTTATGGTCCACAAATTCCATATTTTTTCAGTGCTGTTCAAGCTGACTAATTTTTTTTAAATTAACAAAGCACCATGTTTTTAAATATACTGCACAATTAATTTTGTTTATATTTTTAGTAAAAACAGCTGAAATATGAAGACTAACACTTACTGCCAGTGCCAATCTCTATTGGTGCAAAGACGGTAGCATTGGCACCCATGTGTAGTAGCTGTGGTTGGGGTAGTGGTGGCGTGCAGGGCGTGGGAGTGGTGGGAGTGGGAGGAGTTAGCAAGTGGGGTGTGTCATCTCCATCAGCACCCTCAGAAAGCTTAGTTCCTCTTTCAGACTGGAATATTGTTGGTAGAGGATTGGGCACTATTCCCTTGCTGCGGAGTTTGATGCCTGGAGACTTTGTGTAATTTAGAGGCCATTTACGGTCCTGAAATGGTAAGATGAATTGTTATGCTCCAAGGCTATTATTCAGAAAATATACTGGTACAATAGAATGAAATACATATTACATCTGTAATGGGAATAAAACAATTGTTTTAAGACAGTATTACGTACTTCTAAGATTTGCTTTCATTACAAAACAAAATCATCTAGATGCGTGTTCAGTCACGTGAAGGTCACCGAGAAAGATATCACTAAACATAAGAGAAAATGAAGTTTAGGGCAATGAAGTGTCAAACTGGCATTCTAGTGATTCTCAGACACCTGCCTTAACCCACTCTGCCAATAAAGGACAAAAGTCATTCAGTGGGAGGTTCTGGAGGCCCCAACTGTGGCCACAACCAGGAGTTACCAAATGGTTCGCCTACACTCTAGGTTGCAGGTAATGGTGTTCCCACATTTACACCCCCTCCTTCAGTACAATGAAATTACAGTGACATGATATATCAATGAGAAATGATTTCCTCACTGATTCATCAAACACCACGGGGAGTGCAGTCCCCGTGGTGTAGTGGTAAGACACTCGCCTGGCGTTCCGCGAGCGCTATGTCATGGGTTCGTATCCTGGCCGGGGAGGATTTACTGGGCGCAATTCCTTAACTGTAGCCTCTGTTTAACGCAACAGTAAAATGTGTGCCTGGATGAAAAAACGATTCTTCGCGGCAGGGGTTCGTATTCCAGGGACCTGCCCGAAACGCTACGCGTACTAGTGGCTGTACAAGAATGTAACAACTCTTGTATATATCTCAAAAAAAAATTCCGATTTCTTTGCAAGATGACACATTTCACAATGCTGTACATACAATTGAACAAAACAGTCTAAACAAATTTATTACCTATAATATATAATAATAATTCATTGTCGGGGGACAGGAAGCCAGAGTGTATTAATACACGTTTGACTTTTATCAAGGCTGAATTACTGACCCCCATCCAGGATGCAACCCCACAACAAGCTGACTAACCTCTTGAGTATTTACTCATTGCTAGGTGAACAGAGGCATTAGGTACAAGGAAATATGGCCAACCATTTCTGTCCCACATTGGATTCAAACACGGAATTCTGGATTGTGCGTAGGGAACAAACCCAACTGTACTACCGCGACTCTAAATCTCTGATACCATACAGAAGTCTTATAATCCATCCCCCAAGCAATATTTGTACAACAAAAATTAAAAAGCTATTTTTCTAACAAAACAAAAAATTATACATTTTTATACAGTACAATGTAACCTCCAACTTTGGACCTCAATAATAATCGTACTCTCCAAATAAACAGAGGACAATCTGCTAGACTTTATACCCAATGTATTGAGATGGATTCAACAATGAAAACTACCACAAGAGGCCTACACAACTGTTACAAATGTCAGGACTTTGTGGAATAGAAATTCCAGCCCCTCCTTTTGCAGTAGGGAAGATTCAGACCTTCCATCCTCTTATGGGACTTCTAGATCATATTCTCATGGAAGGCGAATTACCAGCCAGCCATGCATGGAGGGGGAGTTGCAAACCACCTTTGCGTGGGTAGGAGGGAAGGTTGGGTGGAGGAGAGGGGGGAGTGGTGCGGTGGAGGATGGGATAAAGGTAGGGGGAAGGATGGGTAAAGGTAGGGGGGATGGGTAAAGGTAGGGGAGGATGGGTAAAGGTAGGGGAGGATGGGTAAAGGTAGGGGAGGATGGGTAAAGGTAGGGGAGGATGGGTAAAGGTAGGGGAGGATGGGTAAAGGTAGGGGGGGATGGGTAAAGGTAGGGGAGGATGGGTAAAGGTAGGGGAGGATGGGTAAAGGTAGGGGAGGATGGGTAAAGGTAGGGGAGGATGGGTAAAGGTATAGGGAAGGAGGGGTAAAGGAGAGGATGTTGGATAGAGAGAGGGGAGGGGGGAGGATGTGAGTGAGTGAGTGAGTGCGTGCGTACTTGCTTGCTGGGTGTGTGGGTGTGGGCGCTGTGATTGGTTGAGCGGCTGCCGATCCCCTCGCGGCCAGCCACTCACCGCCAGGAGCGGCCTCCACCCAGCACCATCCTCCCCTCGTCCAGTCCCCTCACAACCCCGCTATACCCACTCCGGCCTTACCATCACACATCCCCCAACACCACTAGCCACAACACTAACTAAACTAGCAGCACTGCCAGCTAGGAGTCAGGACAGCAAGGAGAACTAGATAGCTAGGAAGCAGGATATCATATCCCAGGGTGGTCCTAGGGCTGGCGGCTGGGGACACGTGAGTCCGCCCAGGAGCAGACAGCCCGGCTAAAAATAGAATTCCAGCTCTCACCTTTAATAGGTTGAGTACTTAGCGTAGTGTAGGAGTCACCAGCTGCTTCACCAGTTCGCGCTGTCATCACCACTCTGTAAACCTGACACTTTTACCTCCCTTGTCCATCTCGATACAACGGATTCCAGTCTTATATAAACAACATACACATCTTTACAAGTAACAATGTAAATATCAGCTCCTTTGTCTAGCAATATAACAAAAAATCACAATATACATACAGACACTTCTTAGACGAGCCTACTGTAGGAATCATTATAAATTGTCTTGACACGCTATTGCACCAGTACTCAGCCACACTACCGCACCAGTACTCAGCCACACTATTGCACCAGTACTCAGCCAAACTATTGCACCAGTACTCAGCCACACTATTGCACCAGTACTCAGCCACACTATTGCACCAGTACTCAGCCACACTATTGCACCAGTACTCAGCCACACTATTGCACCAGTACTCAGCCACACTATTGCACCAGTACTCAGCCACACTATTGCACCAGTACTCAGCCACACTATTGCACCAGTACTCAGCCACACTACTGCACCAGTACTCAGCCACACTATTGCACCAGTACTCAGCCACACTATTGCACCAGTACTCAGCCACACTATTGCACCAGTACTCAGCCACACTACTGCACCAGTACTCAGCCACACTATTGCACCAGTACTCAGCCACACTATTGCACCAGTACTCAGCCACACTATTGCACCAGTACACGCCACGCCGGTGGCGGCAGGGGAGGAGTGCCAGTGGCGGCAGGGGAGGAGTGCCAGTAACGGCAGGGGAGGAGTACCAGTGACGGCAGGGGAGGAGTGCCAGAGACGGCAGGGGAGGAGTGCCAGTGACGGCAGGGGAGGAGTGCCAGAGACGGCAGGGGAGGAGTGCCAGTGACGGCAGGGGAGGAGTGCCAGAGACGGCAGGGGAGGAGTGCCAGAGACGGCAGGGGAGGAGTGCCAGAGACGGCAGGGGAGGAGTGCCAGTGGCCGCAGGGGAGGAGTGCCAGTGACGGCAGGGGAGGAGTGCCAGAGACGGCAGGGGAGGAGTGCCAGTGACGGCAGGGGAGGAGTGCCAGAGACGGCAGGGGTAGCGGGCCACAAGGAACAACAGTCTCTCATTCACAAAAACGGATTCATTGAGAAGCGTAGGCGGTGATGGGGAGGGTGTGGGGGGGGGGAGTGACGCGGCGCCCATTGATCCGCCCAGCTGCCTGCTCTCACGCCCACCCCCCCAAGCCACCACCTACCCCTTCATCCACCCCCCTCCCCCCTCCCCCCTCCCCTACCCCATCACCCCCCCCCCTCCCCATCATCTTTCTCCCTCATAGGCTCCGGGAAGACCAGCCAATAAGGTGAAAGAAATAGGGAGTCAGAGAAGACTATGTTCTCCCAAGGCTACGAAATAGGGAATAGTCTACCACAAGGGGAAGGGATAGTCCGCAAGCCACGAGGCCTGGCCGAGGACCGGGCCGCAGGGACGTTGAGCCTCGAAATCATCGCAAGGTAATGGTGTGGAACACGATCGAATTTTAATGTTTAATTTTGCCCCAAGGGGCGAGTTTACTGGGCAGCGCCACTCATCCTGTGAGTGGACACACTCCCCAAAAGGAAGAAAACTCGCTGGGTTATTCATCCTGTCATTTGCAACCAGACACAGCTGGGACTGGACACAACTGGATAAGCACCTCCAAAGGATACCTGATCAACCAGGCTGTGACTCGTACGTCAGGCTGCGAGCAGCCGCGTCCAACAGCCTGGTTGATCAGTCCGGCAACCAGGAGGCCTGGTCGACGACCGGGCCGCGGGGACGCTAAGCCCCGGAAGCACCTCAAGGTAAGGTAAGGGACTTGCTTAACTCTCTCCAGTGAACAGTTTATCAAACCAGAAGATTAACATTTGTCAACTCCTAACATTTACGATATCTTGCGGGTGCAAAAAGGGGAAAACTTTCAAGAACAGTATCTATATTTGACAAATAGTATTTTCTTAACTATTTGCCAAATACCCACACTTGGTGTCAGCAAGGCGGACAGCCCGCCCGCTATTATAACTCATACTGTATTTCTCATTGCTAAACTTTTCTCCCCCCTTCACCTGCATCTTTACTCCAAAACAAAAAATAACAAAAGGAGGGGGGAAGAAGTGGAAGGGAAAAGAGACAGTGTGCCACAAGTAGAGGGAATAAAGAATAGTCCTCAGTTGAGAGGCGGGACCAAAGAGCCAAAGCTCAACCCCCGCAAGCACAAACAGGTGAGTAAGAATAGTGCTCCACATGGAGAGCTACCACACATACAAGCTATCTTGAGGTTATCTTGAGGCTATCTTGAGGTTATCTTGAGACGATTTCGGGGCTTTTTAGTGTCCCCGCGGCCCGGTCCTCGTCCAGGCCTTCACCCCCAAGAAGCAGCCCGTGACAGCTGACTAACACCCAGGTACCTATTTTACTGCTAGGTAACAGGGGCACAGGGTGAAAGAAACTCTGCCCAATGTTTCTCGCCGGCGCCTGGGATCGAACCCAGGACCACAAGTCCAGCGTGCTGTCCGCTCGGCCGACCGGCTCCCGTCTGGGGATACCCGTGTCATATTGCCTTCGTGCCAGCCATCTCAACCACCAGTCTGACAGGGAAGGTACCCGTCACCCAAGCACCCAACTCAAGCCAGACAGGTCTCAAAAACCCTATTGTTTAAAAGCCACCGGTGAGAAAAAACAAATTACAAGCGAGATTCACAGAGCAGCAACGTGAACACTTACGATGTATACCTCCTGAACAGTATACCGGTTAAAGACGTGATTTACTAAACCACCCCGTAGTGCTTCGGAGCTCGTAAACTGTTCAGTAAATACAGACTAATCCGCCATGATGTTAGAAGTACAGATCTCGTACGGTGAATCCTGTTCGGATTCACAATCCTGGTCCCCTTGATCACGTGCACCAATCACAAGCCAGCTGTATCTGACTAATCCGTTACAAATGCGATGTGTTTGTAACAATCAGTAAACTAATATTGACATTTTCCACGAATCACCCTCAACAGGTTCGGTGGGTTGCTTGGGTTCGTACGTTACTGGTTAGGCAAAAACAGTTGAATATTTTACGGAGAGGCAAATCTAAAGAACGGGCTGGCCAGACAACACACACACACACACCTGGCTGGCCGGCCAGACACACACACACACACACACACACACACACACACACACACACCTGGCTGGCTGGCTAGACACACACACACCTGGCTGGCTGGCCAGACACACACACACCTGCCCGGCCAGACACACACACCTGGCCCGCCAGTTGCCTTTGGCACCACACACATTTTCGTTAACACCTTACACAGCTAAATTATCTGGTACTCACCTTATTTGGCGGCTTTTTACAATTCTTGGGCTCAATTTCTTTGGACCTGTTGTAGAGGTAGTTGGCGATCTCGTTCTCATTCTCAGTGTCGAAGGGCTGCAGCGTCTCCAAGAAGTGCTGCAAGGGAAGAAACACAGCGGTGAAGTACAGTCCACACAAGGCGCGGGGCTGCCTCTTATGGGCCATATTCTACACAGCCAAGATGTCGTGAGGCTCCACATATTATATTATATATATATATATATATATATATATATATATATATATATATATATATATATATATATATATATATATATATATATATATATATATATATATATATGCAGGCGATGAGTCACAATAACGTGGCTGAAGTATGTTGACCAGACCACACACTAGAAGTTGAAGGGGACGACGACGTTTCGGTCCGTCCTGGACCATTCTCAAGTCGATTGTGAATGTATATGTATGTATATATATATATATATATATATATATATATATATATTATATATATATATATATATATATATATATATATATATATATATATATATATATATATATATATATATATAATAGTATATTTTGGTAGCAGTCTTTCCTGTAGACATATATTATTAAATATGACCGAAAAAGTAAGATTAATAATTCTAACACGAATTTTCTCAATATTTCTTATATTGCTGACACAGCATAGTAAGAAATCTGTTTAGTGTTTGCAGGTTATAGTTGTGTGTGTAAACTAAAGCCTTTGAAAATGTAATAAGTTATTACGAAACGCATTCAAGTGTCGCGTCAGACTAGAAATAAAAATGAATTTTGGAGAACTGATTTTTCAATTACCATCGACAGTGAAAAGAAACATAAGAAATAGAGAAAATTCGTGTTAGAAATATTGAATTATTGCAAAAGATGAACAATATTTTCCGAATCAAAGATTACTTCAGCATAACTCTTTTAGGATTAAGTTACTTTTTGAAGTAATTCAAGTATTTTGCGTTGTGTAGCGTCTTTCACACGAGTGATATTAAAATATTTTTGACAGATTATGAAAGGAATACATTCACCTATGAATAAACAAGAATTGTATACAAATTTATCTAATTATAATGTGACGGTGTAAAGGAACCTAATGTAGTCCTGTAACGAGTCGTTTTCCTATCACAATGACAATATTCCGGCGGCTTCGGTATAATCTATTTTGCAAATAGTCTGGGGGGAAGGTTTCTTTTCCCCAGGCTGGGAAAAGTCTGGGGAACTTCCCTAGACTTTTCCCCAGAAAGAAGTATGGGAACTCCAGACTTCTTTCTGGGGAAAAGGTGTAGAGACGGGGGGGGGGGGGGGTGTTCCACCAAGAGACAAGAACGTTTTGGGGGGTAGAAATAGCCTAAGCTACTCTATCCCTTTGAGATGTATTTATTGCTTATCTCAATAAACATACTTGAACTTGAACTTGAAGAACGTTTTGTTTGAACGGGGTGTTAGTGCCCCACACCCCGTAACAAGCCGTGGCACTGCCGGAGACCAATAAGCAGGTCAGCCCACACAACAAGGGGTTAAGAGGGGACATCCGAGGCAGGAACCGTGGCGAATGAGGTCTTCCCGAGGGGACGCAGGGAACAGTGTCATCACACGCCTAGCTCATCACCACGCCCGATTACTGGTTTCCTCCGCCACCCACACCCACCCTCTTCCACCCCATCATCACCCATTGCCTAATACACCCAATTGCCGCCCATTATCGCCACCCACTTCCCAGCACAATGATCGCCAACTACGCCACCACCACCCTAATTCGTGACGCCCACCGACGATTGAATTAGACCATATATTGGTCAAGATGACCGCCAATCACTCCAAGACTAGAGCGAGTGTGTGAAAACCTTCGTAGAATAGGCTGACAAAGCCCTGGCCAAGGCAAGAAAGAGACTTTAGGCAAAATGTCTATGTATTCCGGATACAATAAGCTCGCACCGCCCGCAGGCGTCTCTCCCGCCTTACTTCATGTAGCAGTAAATAGGTACCTGGGAGTTAGTCAGCTGTCACAGCCTGCTTCCTGGGGGTGGAGGCCTGGTCGAGGACCGGGCCGAGGAGATACTAAAGCCCCGAAATCATCTCAAGGTAACCTCAACATGATGCTGTACGGTAAAATCAACTACATCACTAGCCTTCATACCCGTCTCTCAAATATGAGGCTAACGAAAAGTATAATTAGTTAAGGGCCGAACCACACATCACATGATGGAGAAACGTCGAGGTTTCGGTCTATCATGGACCTTTATCAAGCCCTGACAGGACTTTATAATTGTTCTGGACGGACCGAAAAGTTGTGGTTGCTTCACCAATCTGATGTGTGGTTTGCTCAGCCACGTTATTGTGACTCATCGCCTGTATAATTACTTTATTACAAACCTCAATTATTTAGCTTAATAATTTCACTGAGTAATGAAATGCAAAATGTTGGTCATAAATTATGCATTTAATAGAACGTTTGGGCTCATTTCCTGAACCCCCTTTGTTTTGCTAACCTTTCCTCCACCACCAATGTGATGGCGAGGGGTCCATGATATACTAATTGAACCCATGACAACCACTGAGGCTAGTGCTTGGACCGCACTCCCATAGACCTTGTAAACAACAGGCTTGGAAAGAAAGCAAGAATATCTCGAATAATAATTGGGATATGAAGTGAAGAAGAAAACCCCCTGGTTTCTTGGGTGAATTTGGAACGACGATACGATTTGATGTGTGGTATCTTCTCGAGGTTATCTTGAGATGATTTCGGGGCTTTTTTAGTGTCCCCGCGGCCCGGTCTTCGGCCAGGCCTCCACCCCCAGAAAGCAGCCCGTGACAGCTGACTAACACCCAGGTACCTATTTTACTGCTAGGTAACAGGGGCATTCAGGGTGAAAGAAACTTTTGCCCATTTGTTTCTGCCTCGTGCGGGAATCGAACCCGCGCCACAGAATTACGAGTCGTGCGCGCTATCCACCAGGCTACGAGGCCCCCTGGTATATGAGATATAGCGCACATGATGGGTGTCGACACATGCTATGCGTGCATACATAGGTAAGTATATGATGCCTACCTGACAACACGACTCTAGTATCCTGAGGCAGCGACACATGGCTACCAGGCGACACACGTGGGCAGGGCAGAGTGTAGCCAGACCCCGCCGCCTGCCCGCGGGCGGGTGGTGCACGGTCAGACTCGACCCTGCCCACCCGCCCTCCAGAAGATACTCCTCCACAACCACCGCCACACTAACGCCCGCCCGCACACACCACGCCCGCTGGCGCCCGCCCACACACACACACACCACGCCCACACCACCCAACACCTTCGCTACTTCATCCTTACCCCACTACAACATTAGTGGCGGTATGGAGGAGTCTGCGAGGGCGAGATATTGTAGTGGTGAAGCTGGGTGTTGCTTGGCTAATTGGCGCGTAGTCGGGCTCTTGTGTGATGGGGAATTGTAGTGTTGCAGGACTTAGTGGGGACGTTCTGGGGGGATGGCTAGGCGGGGCGGTGTTCTTGTAGAGGAGGGGGGGCCTAGGTCGAAGTGTTGTAGGGGCTAAGGAGAGCGTGTAGAGGCACTGTCACATTAACAGTGTGACCAGAAAGTGGACGCTGATCACGGAGCCTCTTCGCAAGTCTCGGCCTTCTTCGTCAAATTTGGACACTTCACTTTCCCACTCCAACGGTCACCCTTGGTGGAGGTGGACCTCGGCGCCCCTCACAACGCTCGGCTCTTGCCCCCAGGGTATCCTTCACCCAGGGTGAGTGGCCACACTACCCTCACACACTCCTCACAAGGGCCGTCTCCGTAACTCACTACACATCATTGATCATTATTTTCAACACAATTTTTAAACAAAGTGCTTGAAATGTTCTCGCTAAAACAAGGACTTTTCTTCAATTACTTAAACTTTTCACTGTATTCTGCCCCATAAGCAGCTTTTCACTAAGTTTTACATATACAATTTAACTGGATTCAATTAAGCACATCTCAAACGCCGACAAACAATCCATCAGAAACACAAGCACCCTAAGGTAATACTCCCACAAGGAACACAAGACTTCACGTGGAATTCCCTACAAAAAACACGTGCAACACATCCACACAACACACTGTGAATTGTGTGTGTGTGTGTGTGTGTGTGTGTGTGTGTGTGTGTGTGTGTGTGTGTGTTACACACACGCATTAGCACCACGCACCACTAAACTCGCCAGAATCACAAACTACCAACACCAAAACACATACGCACAACACTCCACACACCAACATCACAAACACCCACTAATACCACTACACCCACTAGCACCACACACACTACACCCACTAGCACCTCACACACACCAGCACTACACCTACTAGCACCACACACACACCAACACTACACCCACTAGCACCACACACACCAACACTACACCCACTAGCATCACACACACATCAACACTACACCCACTAGCACCACACACCCACACCAACATTACACCCACTAGCACCACACACCCACACCAACACTACACCCACTAGCACCACACACACACCAGCACTACACCCCCTAGCACCACACACACACCAGCACTACACCCACTAGCACCACACACACACCAACACTACACCCACTAGCACCACACACACACCAACACTACACCCACTAGCACCACACACCCACACCAACATTACACCCACTAGCACCACACACACACACACCAACACTACACCCACTAGCACCACACACACACACACCAACACTACACCCACTAGCACCACACACAAACCAGCACTACACCAACTAGCACCACCAACACTACACCCACTAGCACCACACACACCAACACTATACCCACTAGCATCACACACACACACACCAACACTACACCCACTAGCACCACACACACACCAACATTACACCCACTAGCATCACACACACACACCAACACTACACCCACTAGCACCACACACACACCAACACTACACCCACTAGCACCACACACAAACCAGCACTACACCAACTAGCACCACCAACATTACACCCACTAGCACCAAACACCAACATTACACCCACTAGCACCACACACACACCAACACTACACCCACTAGCACCACACACACACCAACA